TAAAGACCTATACTTTTAATTTGCATTTATATAATTACGTGAATAACAATCATGTTTTGATGTACTCTTAAGGACTTGACAACTGTAGCCACAATTATGTTTTGCTTTCTTTGAAGAGTAGGAAGTCAAAATGCATTTTAGGGCATCACATTACAGGAGTCTCTTGAGAAACAGATGTGTGGGAACAAATACATATCATTCAAACTCTTGAATTTACAGAGTAGGAGAACAACACAAATTTTATCTATATATTTAAATCTTAACTTTAAAATATTACCTTAAAAAAAATCTTTAGTGAAAATTACAGAATGATGGCAGTTTCAGATTACATATTAAATAGTGAACTGCAATGGCATTGCTCAAATGAAAATATTACAACCACTCTCAAGTTGTCCATATAGGAACAAACTAAAAGAGTGAGGGAACACTTAAGCTGTGCCATAATTGGAAGTATGTGAAAAATGAAGTGTCAGTTCAGTCAATAAAGGGCAAAGGTCAAGGGGAACTGCCACCCAAACTCTGTGCAAAATGTGCTCATTAAGACATCCAATCAGAGAGCTCTTTCCCACCTATCCCATTAGTCATCAGATATCTGACTGCTTCAGATGCCTGGGTCTGTGCTGTTATTACTTTTCTTCTTCATGTAAAAAGGCAAGCTGATGTATAAATCGTTGCTCAGTCATCTGGAACATAACGTGTGCCCCCCCCTCTTCCCATTTCATCCAGCTCTGTCTGCGAGCTGCGCAACCTCCAAACAACTGCCTTGAAATTCTCTTCAATAATAAATGGAATTGCCTGTTGCCAGTAGGTTGTCTGAACTCTTTTACAAAAGCCAAGAAAACACTGCCAGTACTGATACTTTTCCTCTGAGAAGAAACATTCATTTCCTTTTGCTTTAAAGAACAATTTTGCATATCAAGGTCTGAATCAGGGACACGAGTAGCCCAATGGGGAAAAAAATGGGCATTAGACATAGAAAGCCTAGGCTTTGGAATATTTATTAAATTTATTTGCTGCCCATCTTGTTTCAAAGTGACTCTGAGTGTCTTACAACATTATATACATATATAGAATATAAATAAATAGGAAATAATTTCAATTATTATGATCCATTAAACACAGGGATTTATTTCAGCTATATATTTAAGACATGGCACTGAATTTGCACAGGGAACTTTCAACTGTATTTGAAACCAAGAAGCAAAACAAACAAGCTGAAACTCCTTGAAAACTTCCAAGTAGGTGAAAGAAGCAAGAAGAAATCGTATTCTTACTCATTCATTCAATTTTCCCCTACATAAGGACAGACCTAAAAACAGCAACTAAACTAAATCAGGAATTCCCCTCTGTCTGTGTCAGTTTCTTTGAATTGAACTCCATAAAGTAATTTGGGTGACATGTGCTGTAACTACGCCTCAAAAGCAATACTGCTCAAGTGAAGACAGATTTCCTAATGCTCAACATGTAAAGAGTTGCAACCTTAAGTAGAGTGCTCACAACAGTTTTCGCTATTGGTCCATGTGTTTTGTCTTTGAGGAATTATATGAGGAAGAGTCTCTGGGCTGTTTTGGCCTTGAAACCTTTGTGGAGCTTTTACCTTGGATTTAAGCCTTGATGCCATCACAGATTATGTTCTTTTAATTAACATAGCTTGTGAAGTTCATTCCTGAATACAAAACAAGGTCATCCAAAGATCTGAAAGGATAGGAGAAGATTTAAAGAGATTCATCTCTTCCAAAGCCAATTCCTACCCTTTTTTTTTAACACCAGTTGGGCAAAAATGTAAAAGGGCCTTTGAGGGGAAATTTTAAATCCAAAGATGGACGTTTATGTAGCCATATATCTCCTCCTTTCCTTCCATCTGCATCTCCATGCCATATCTCAGTTCATTCCATGCCATACCTCATTCCCTTCTGGATCCAAACCAGATTTCTAAAATTACACATTATCTCTTCCATCATCATCATCTTCATCTTCATCATCATCATCATCATCTCCAGCTTATTAAATGTTAAGATTACAAAATGCTAAACATTTTTTTCTAAAACCAACCAGTATAATTTATGCATGAAGGAAAATCTTTCTTTCTTCATAGTGACTGGGCAAACAATGGAGCACTGCTCCACCATACAGTACAAAAAAAGACAGAAAGAATAATGCAGATTACTCCGCAATCACTCAGTCAGCTCTTTTTACAGCAAAGTCCCCTTCCATAAAGTTTGCTTCCTACATGGTATTCTAACATAGCACCCATCATCACAATTAAGCTTGCCCAACTGTGTGTGATGGTTTTTTAAAATAATATTCTCATTTTTTTATATACTAGAGAATATTCAGACTTGCTTTGGAAAGCTAGACTTCTTTAACAAGGATTCTGCAGAGTTTCCAACTCTAATTCTGTAGCTCATTACACCTTGCTCTTTGTAGCATGCACCTTGTCACTGAATACCTTATTGAGATAGAAGAAAATAAAGAAGTGAGCGTGCACAGTATTATCCAATGTATAATATAATTAGAAGTATCACCAGAACAGAAGGATGAGCAAATACCACACAAATAACCACAAAGTCATTCTGAACACAGCAAAACTTTTGTCAATTATCTTCCCTCAGCCCAACCTACATCAGAGAATTGTTGCTACAGAGGTATTTTTCTATATTTCTCCTTGCACTCCAAGCCAAATGACAGAATATAAATGCAAAAATAATAAAGGGGCAGGGGAAAGCATTTAGAGTGAGTGAGTGAGTGAGTGAGTGAGTGAGTGAGTGAGTGAGTGAATTAATGAATGAATATAAAAATCCAAAGCATCCATTGATAGGAACCACAAAAGTTCTTTTCCTCTTTTCCCCATGAAAGACACTGGAGCATACACACCTATTATATTGACTGCTAGTAGCGACAAATAGAATTAGGCTGCAGTCAGGAAAGTTATTCAAGGAAGAAAGTTTCACAAATGAAACACATTTATCTGCACAAATGCAATCAGTATTTTTAAAAGATATTTAAAAGAAAATCAATTCAGTTTAATTCTAGGGGTTCTTTTTACAGGTACTCCAATGATCCATATTTATCTTCTTTATCAAATTAGATTCAAGAAACTTCAACTGTTAATGGCATGCCTATTCAGTTGAATATGATAGTAGGAAGGGAAACACTAATAAGAAAAACTAAAATAATAAAAAAAGTTGCTGGAGCTGCAGTATGCATTAGGGCATCTGCATGAAACCCAATTCAAGCAAGTGGGTGTCATACAAGTGTGCAAAAGTGCAGAAAGAGTTACACATGGGGTTTTTTTGTATTATTACTTTGAAAGGCCTCGCTAAAAGCAGTATTATTCATACATTAAATCATTTAAGCATTTTTAGCATCAAAGGTGAGCACGGAGACTTTGTACTGCACTCTTAAAGAAGAGCTCACTTCCTAAAGATAAATTATGCAACAAGAAATTTAATGTTACAATTGGGATCAATATGGAAAATGTGCCAATTTTGCAACAATACATATATGAAGAAATACTTGAAAGAAAAAAAGGCCCCTTAAATTTATGTTGCATATCATTTTCCAGTAAAGTCAGAGATCAAGGGGGTTATCCGTTTCTGCGTCAACTCTTCAACAATTTGCCCATTCTGGGGCCCAGTAATTACTAGGCTTCAGTTGTGATTAAGTCAGCAACTTTTTAAAAAAATAAATAAAAAACAAATACTTAAAATTCCATATAAAGATATATGGCCTGAAAAGATATATAGTCTTGCAATTTGAATAAAAAATAGAATACTATTTCAATTTAAAAACTATTTTTATTGAACATTAAACTTTGCTATTGTAGTAAATCTTTCCAATTTTTTTAAAAAGCTAAATCACTGGTAGTCCAACAATGAATGAAACAAGAACATATATAAAAACTATATTTTAAAATATATGGGCATTGTAGATTTAGAACCTTTTTCAGTAACAGAAGAAGGTTCTTTTTAAACTCAAGCACATGAAATCAATTGCAGTTGGACCTTGCAAAAATAAAAAAATGTACTTTTTGGTTTGAGCAGTGTGTTTTTTTCAAAAAATAACTAATTACGCATAGGACATACTACATCAAATACTTGTAACAAGCAAAGAACCATCTCTTTCTCCTTCAATAAACCATTAGTTTGGCTCTGAAACAAAGTAATTGGCATTTTTGTAAAATGAGCAGAACATGGGTAGGGCCAAGAACCATGTAATTTTAAGATTTCTCCATTTAGATTTTTTAGATTAAAAAATTCCACTCTTTCTTTTCTCTCTACTGGATCCTTTCTGTCAATTACTAAGATACAGAAACAAAAATGGTGGATTCCTTTCCAGTCTGAACTAGGATCTGAATGGAATAACCATAGGGAAAATACAGCTTGATATTTTTCCTCCCTAATCAAAGTAAAACATTGATTGAGGTGGAGAGACATAGGAGAAAGCAAAGGGTAGGTGTAGAAAGATGAGCCTAAATAGAAAAGGAAAGCAGATTCCATTTTGCAAGTCTGAATTATTATACCATTGTGGTGGATTATGTTTTACAATTTAAAAGAAAACTATGCTGGGAATGTAATATACTTGTACATTATCTGCATCTTGTATGATGGCCCTCTTGTAATTTACTATCCATATAACTGAAAAGAAAACCTGTGTTCCAGAGATATCCAGGAACCAGATACAGAGAATCTTGCATTACCAATCAAAAGACATTCAGAGCTACATATTTCATCTTTATCTCCTTAATAGAGATAGAGCAAGGCTGGTGGCCCCTTCCCTTAAAAAAGATTTGCACAATAAAAACCCCATCTCCAAACAACCCTGGTAGTGAAGGTCAGGTTGAACAGATTATCAAGGACAGGCATGAATTCAAGCAAGACTTATTACATGTTTCCATATCAGATTCAAATTCCATTACAAAAAATATTTCTAAAACAGTGAAGTTATTGTGCTAGAGGCTGGAACCCTCAAAACACCAAGACTCAGAATAAAGTTCCTACCTTGTTCACTGCTGTTGTCCCCACTGTGTGATGTGTGCCCCCCACTTGAGGGCCCTGGCGTTCCTCCTGACCGTGTTGATGCTGTGTCATCATGGTCTCTATTCCAAGAAGGCTGCTAGATGGAAATTAAATAGGTTATTAAAGAACAAGTGATATCTTCCACAGCACAGAAAAAAACAATATACAACCTGGATAAGTTTCTGAAGATGACCAAAATAAAAATTAAAAGCATATTAACATATGTTAAAGTACATCCTAAAAATATTATACTGTATTTTATAGTGTTGCCTATTTTAAAGAGAAATTACCTTAGAGGAAGGAGAAATTTGAACGTAATAGTATGTATAATACAATTTCATACAGCAAACACAGGAAAATGTAAAAATATAATTTGGAATCAGGTTTAGCATACTTAACATTATGTGTCAGATGTCTGCTGCATGGTGTATGGGTAATAAGGCCAAGCTTTAGAATAAAAAGTAAATTAGAGCAACAATGTTGAATATATGGATTGCATATATTCAGTTCCATGTAGAACATTTTTGTAGTACTGAACAGAAAACAGATGTTCGTTCTTATCATTGAGCACATTAAAAATGACATTCAGATAGGAAAAAATTGGCTGTGGAATAAATTCTTAAGGAAAATAATCATGGCAACAATCCTCCCATCTTCCTTTATCTTCAGAATTTATTTTAGTTAGTTTTTAGTACTAAGTTGTTAAAAATACCAGTAACTCACTAGACATCAGTATTCATAAGTAAGCAATATTGTGATATTGTCCACAGATAATTAGGAGATGGGGAAAATAAATAAACAAGTCAACCACTATATTTCTATCACAACCAGAACTATTTTAATGACATTATGTTAAAACAATTATAATATACACTTTAGATCATCAAATCAAACAGAATTTAAATGGTAGAAGCACATATGACAAGGCTGTTCCTTTTTCCTAATTCCATGCACCAAATAGATAATCAAAATCTGCTTTTACATAATGGAAGAACTCAGATTAGAATGAAACCAGTGTCCTGCATTCTTTTCTAATTGAGGTTTGTCAGTGACTTAGTCTGATAGTGAATATGGGTTAACAGAGGAAAAGTGTTTGGAGGGAAGGGTAATGAAGAAATTAAATAGAGCTTCATCTACCTTCACTTATGTATCTTATTAACATAAACATAACATTTGCACTCCGTTATATATATCAATGAATGCAAAGTCAAAAAGTGAGTGCCTCCCATCATGTCTAATTTGTCCCCAAAGCAAGCATCTTTAAGAAGATATTCACAAACTTGTAATTCAGTCAATAAAACACAGCTTTATTGTATATGTCAAAAGCACTATAAAATTTCTTTCTAACCAATTAAAATCCCCTTTTCCATTCTTTAAAAACTTGGTAGACATACACACACACAGAGAGAAAGAGAGAGAAAGAGAGACATATGTTATGGATAAATTGCATCCTCGCAATTAAAGACAAGGCCTGGAAAAAACCCACATTGTATTTAATTCTTATGTCACCCAAACTGTGAAAGCCAAATTTGTTCATTGATCCAGTAATTGAAACACTGATGTGCAAATTCTGAAAAGGAATCCCCCCTCTGACAAACAAAATTGTTTGCAGCACACACCAGCATAAGAATGCTGTGAGAGGAAATCTGAGACACATGCTCAGAATGCAAACAGTTAATGCATAAATTTCCAGTTTGTACAACTGCAGCTTTAAAAGGGGGACTTGTTTATTCAGAGCTCTGCAGAATGGTACAGCACCCAGGGGACAGACAATGCCAGGCACAAAGCCCCGGTGCCTCAACATGTAAAAGGAGGATGTTTTTCTATGTGCTACAAATCCCACTTGAAAATATAATTAGAAAGAGAAAATGGCAAACTATTGCATTAACTGTAATTGAAGAAAAGGCTAGCAAAGCATGTGGGAGGTTGCAAGAACCCATGGGAGCTCCAGCATGCATCAGATCCTCAGAGTTACATCTCCAGGGTGCACTCATGCTATTTATGTTGCTCCTGACTACTATTGTTGACTAGTGATCTGACTTGTAATTAATAGAAAAGCCACAGATAACAAGGTAAAATATTGAACCACCCACCATAACCTCGGCAGAAGTGTTCATTAATATGATTAGAAGTATGACACTACCGCTATTCAAGGAAAAGGGTGGCTCGGAAATAAAGAATGATATGCCCTGCTATATGCTGTGGATAGCCTGTCCTCCTTTTTTGTGACAACAGACCTGAAATATTCACTATCTTTTAATGAGCTCCACTGATTTATTCGGCGCCATTTGGTTTACTCCCCCACCTCTCTACTGTGCAGGATGTAGATTAATTCAATGCTTAATTGTTTAGTAAATTCAATTTTCCACATTCTATTCTGCATAGCTTTAGCTGAAGTTCTTAAATCTTCGACAGTGAGCCCTGAGCCCCATGTTTCTAGATCTGTGCCTACCTTTTTTTCAATCACCATTTTTCTTCCTCCACCACTTAATTCACCATGAAAAGATTTTCCTTGCTGGAAATTCTGATTCATAGCTATGATCTGTGAGGCATTCCGATTCATTGCATTCCCATTGTGTTGGGTCTTAGATGCCGGGCTCTTCTTTTCTCACAGCCACGGCCACATTATACAGCCATTCATGCAAGAAATGTTGGATTCCACCTCAGTTTATCAAAAAAAATTGTGCATCCCTTGTGTTTACATTTCTGTATTCAGAGGCATCACTTAATATTTATGCCTAGTTGCACTCTGACTGAGTTTTTCTTTCTCTGTTTCAGACCTGTTGAAAACTAAGATGCTTCTAAAAGCAATGTTGAAACTGGTGTTGTTTTCAAAAGAATCCTTTTTAAAAAAAAATCAGTGCTTTTCTACGGATCACTAACCTAAACTAGAAATTATTTCTGAGTCTGATTAAACAGTAAATAGTTAATTTTTAAAAGTTAAGAAAGATAAATCTGTTGAGCGAAAGCTATCTGCCTATAAAGAATACATCCAAACTAACATGGCTCAGAAGTATCCATTTTCTTGTGCTTGTGCAACAGCAGTAAAATATTATAAATTATTGCATTTTTTGCAACACAGTTGCAAATATATGCTTTTTGAATATTATAAGATTACCTTCTCATTCGTTAAACCTACATTAGCATATCTTTGGAAAGGAAAATAAGCAAGGAATACTTTCACATAGGTTGTATTCTACCAGCCTATGGGAAACTATATAGTCTGTGTTTACTATATTCTATCCTTCTGCAGAATGGAAGAACCAGGTTTTATTTATATTACATTTGAAAATAAATACTGGAAGTTTCAGTTTAATAGCTTGTGGTTTGTGGAAATATATTATTTATTTTAAAAAAGCACATATGTTACATAAATCATTCTAACAAAACTGCCCTCCAAATAAGTCAAAACACAGACATTTTGCTATTCATGGTTGATATTCTATATTCTCTCAACAGGATAATGTTGAGGATATATTTTCACAGGATCTGTCCACATTTCTAATACACCAGCTTCCAAATGAAAACAAAGAATGAACAAAGATTGCTAGCTCATCAGTCTGATTAACACTGATTAACCTAAGGAATCCCTGAGATCAGTTTTCCAATTTGTACAATATTTTCCCATATTTCTTCATAGATACAAATAGCATATCCTTGTGCTAAGGTAGATACAGACATGCCTTGTATTTATTTTAAAACAGCTCCCGGGGGGGGGGAGAGCTAGGGAAATACAACTTACTATGCAATAATTCCAATATAAAAGGTTAGTATCACCATACACCAGTCATATAGAGCAGCACTCATATGACTGGTCCCCTAAAGCCCATAAGGACTTTTAAAAGAACACATTCTAGTCTCAGACTCTGCAATGCCCCATCACCATATTTCTTTACCATGATAATGGCTTGATATGTTCTTACATATCACATCTGACCATTAGGATGGTTCCCAATACAATAACATCAACATACCCTACTGCTTACAACTCTGGCATAAAATCTTTTTATCTATCTGTCTACAATGGCTTTGAACATTTTAAGAACTTTTTAATCTGCAGAACAGCTAACACAGGGGTGTCAAACTCGCAACGTCACGTGACGTGTCGCAACATATCACGACTTTTTTGCCATTGCCGGCAATGGGGTGGGCGTGGTTTTGGCATGACGCATCCGGCCCGTGGGCCGGCAGTTTGACACCCGAGCTAACAGATTGTCCTATACTGCTGGTACCTCACTCTCTTGTCTTTTTTTTTAACCTTGAGTATTAGAAATGAGAGCAGCCAATCTTAAAATCACATATTCTATCAAAAGTAGTATAGATAGATGGATGTATTTAAATTGTACAGAACTTCATCACAGATATCATGTTCAGTATAATATACACTGCATATAATCTTAGGTGCCATTTACAGAATATTTGACAGATTTGTCTTGATTTAATTCCCTCAACCAAATTAATAGTTCTTAAATTCAGCAGTGAACTATGAATTCATTGCAACAATGGACTGAGATCTATGTAGAAGATATGCATGCAGCTATCTAATTTGTAACATGTAACCATGTCAGGCACAGCAACAAATCTTGATTCTCCAGATATTTAACCCTATATTCAGGAACTTGCTTACAGCGGAAACTCACAGATATGACACTACTAGATAGGTTCCTTTTTTGCAAACAAGATAGAATTCATACATATAGGGAAGAACGTCTTACTGCGAAACACAGAAATAGAGCCATACATAAGGTTTAAATTCTACACTTTCCCCCAAGCTTGAGATTGGAAGTTACTTGGTCAATGTTTATATAACTGTTCTACTTAGATGTAACCCTAACTGCTGTTTCCTGCCATTTCAACTTCAGCCCCTTAAATGCCAACTCTATTTTGCTGCTGTTTGGTCAATATTTAAACTTTGTATTGAAATAACTTTTTCTGCAATTTTTGTTGTTTGCTTAAAAACTGATGATCATGATGATGATCAGCTCTGATGGCTCCTTCTAGCATTAAAAGTGTTTATACATATTAACTTGCATAAATAGGACAGCCTATCTCAATACTGAAGGAAATAGTGTAGAGGTTTAAAAGTTGGCTCGA